CAATTGACGAAGCTGGGTTTTCAAATTTGGAACACAACTTAATTTTAATAGGTTTTTTTTTTTTTGCTGCAATGCAAGTTTTCAGCCGGGAAACCTGCGAGGGAATGAAGTCATCCGGGATCAGGACCGAGTCCGAGTTTGTCTGTCTTTCAAAAAGTGGCGGTGTAGCATGTTGGAAGGACTTTAAAGGTGAGACACAAAGTCTTTTGTGGATTTTTGATAACAAACCATGGCAAATGACTTCATGGTATAAAGAGAAAAATTCCTGTTTTTCAATTAATTTTTGGAGTTTTGAAAATTATGTACACATATTTTCCAGAATTTTATTTTGGAAGGAAATAAAATTATTCTTCAATATATTTGGGACAACTGGGCCAAGTTTGGTTGTTGCCTCAAAATTGAATATTTCTTGCTGTTATTTCAAAGCGATTTATCCAAGTTAGTGAAGATAAAATCTCACAGCGCCAAATGTTTCTGCTACACCATCATATGACTTTGAAACTTTTTCATGGGGGAAATACTTGATTTTCTTGCAATTTTTGCTTTCACCTCTGCTTTTCAATGTTTTATTTTTTTTTCAGAAGTTCACTCCATGAAGTTATATGAAGATCAAGAAGTTAAACATGAATGCATTATAATCAATTTAATATTACTGTGATTCACATATTTTTTAATTGTTGTATTTTCTGTTTTTTTAGCAGGATTCACACACTGTGAAGTGCCCCATTTCTGTATTGTATTTGTGGTGCAGAGTAGATGGAAAATAAGGAACAAATCACAGTTTTTGGCTTTAGTATACAAGAAGACTGTTCAAAATGTCCACAGGTCAAAATTTACTTAGTAAAAAATACTGTATCATATTATAGAACCTGCTTAAGTCAGACTCAAAGGTACCCACATAATAAATCAACTTAAGGAGTTTTCAAGTTGAAGATACCAACATGTTGGCTGAGGAAAAAATAAGAATTATACATCAGTAAGATAAAAATTAGCAATATTCTGGGCCTTGAACTGTTGGGTAAATGAGTTGACAGGGACTGAATTTGGAGGCAAAAAAGGGGTAATGTTACCATTCAATAACTCACTTCCTTTTGAAAAGCACTTAGTTACTTTTTTTGTAATGTTCTTCTCCTTCTTACATACCTGAAATAATACCCAAAAGGGTCTCTAAAAAAATTTATGGAATGTCTTTTTCAGTTACAGATGTCTATATAATAATATTAAATTGTTATAAAGGTATTCAGACAATAGGACTCAGTAAAAATTTGAAATACAGGTACAGTAGTACCTTCCAATTTGATGTCCTGCAATTCAACTATACCCACAATTCAATGGTCAAATTTTCTGGGACATCAACTTGAACCTCTTGCACCACAATCTCTTGCCCCACAATTTGACTTGCAGAGAGACTCAAAATGTTAAAATCAATTTAGAAAACACACCAAATTTGACATTGTACAGTGGCCCCCCGCCTAACAAACCTCCCGTGTAAGGGATTTTTGCCAAACAGACCAGCTCTGCAAGCAGTTTTTCCTCCCGCCCAACAGACAAAATCTGCCAAACAGACTTCTTTTGGTTTAAAATTAGTGTTGAAAATTGAAATTTTTAATTTTTTATGCAATTGAATTCGTGTAAAGGACTTTTTGTCTAACAGACTTGTCCCTTGCACGAATCAAGTCCGTTAGACGGGGGTTGACTGTATTTTGCAATTTGACCACTTTGCAATACAACCCTTACCTGGCAACAGGTTATGGTTCAATTGCAGGAAACCACCTGTTTTGAGCTCTGAGGATTCCGCAGTGATGTCCAAACAGTGTACCACCATATCCTGCTACACCGACAAGGAAAAAGCAGACCCCAGTGAAGGAAGTATATATGGGAAGCAACAGAAGAGACTCGCTTCCTTCCGGTCCAAAAGCCTCATGCCTCTTTATTCCTCAGCCATGGGAATAAAATCCCGCTCCCGTTCCGTGGTGTCAAATTATTTATAACACGGAATCGAAAAGGCCTTTCCCCATCCCAGTCCGTGGGAAAAAATAAACCATTTTCCCTATTAAAATACTGTAAACTATGAGGAGGGGAAAAGGGAAGGGATTTTTGCTACAAAACCCCTTGGCCAACGATTATCGTTCAGCGTGCATTTGATGTCTCAAGTCCTGACTTTGACAGCGGCTTATTTGGAAACATGGAAAGCATCTTCAAAAAAAAAACAAAGATCCTCATATTAATACTGCGGAAAGGTTCAACATTAAATTTATGATATAGTAAATCTGAAGGAGATGAAAAGCATGATAATGCTTCTTTAAATTAATTTGGATGACTTTCGAGGAACCATGTGCTAGTTTCATTAATTCAGATAACTTCGGTCTAGAAAAAAATCTTCCCGTAAACTTCAAAAACTTGTGAAGGCTTCAATATTCAATTAATTGAAACTTTTTGCTGATCCGTATGCGCAAAAAATCAACCACATGCATAAGTGAGAAACTAAATTTCACGAGAAATAAAAGAAAAAGTATATGTTGCGATAAAAATAATTTTCCATGGCGAAGTATTTCGCATTTTTACAATCAAGACTGCTGATGAAAAATTAATGCACTATCTAAAGAATACAGTATTTCTCTTATTTCTCTAGTATCTCTAGTATTTCTCAGAATTGAAAATAGAAAGTATTCTTGGATTTTTGAACAGAATTGAATTTTTTGAAGTAACTTTTTCAAGGAAAACAATTTTTAAAGTATTTTCTTTTTCACTCTTGTCTTTAAAAAAAAGTTGAGGTGTTCTTTGTACACATTCACGTAAATAATGAATAGAAAAACATATTCTTGCATTTTTCAACCAAATTTTATTTTTGGAAGGAACTTTTCCACGAACAGGATTTTTTGTACCACATTATTTTTTTCTCTTTCGTCCTCAAGAAAAGACTGAGGTGTTCTTTGATCCTCACACTGTATTTCAACGTGGCATTCATCACACGCCCATAAAATCGCCACAGCACGTGAAACCCAAATAATAGTAAAAATAGAAAGAAATGAAATGATGATAATAATAAGAATCCAGGAATTCCGATTGCGCCAGAAAATTGCGGGACTGCGAGAATAAAGGAAGGCTGTTGTTGCGGGCAAGTGTGTGGGGATGAAGGCACGTGCTGGGCGGCTTTTTTCTCTCGTCTCCTCACCATGTGGTCTGTGCTTATTATTTACACCGCCTGGGATTCTAGAAATCATTCTTCCCTCCCCATGTTCTTTGCAGGCTTTATTACATGGGGCTGCTCGAGGGGGGGAACTTATTGGTGATGTGCATTTGCAGGAGAAGAAGACCACCGCAGGACTCTTTTTTTTTGTTGCCCTAATTATATACATATATACCTGGGGTAACGTGATCTGCGGATGTAATAGAGTGGCTCATACTTTTTATTTAGCGTATGCTGCGCTTCAACATTCCAAGCCCAGGACCCTCCCGGACAGTTGATGTTGCTGGAAAGATGTTTATTCGCAACGGGTTGAATTGCATTGAGATCTGAATGCAATTTTTTCAACACGCGAGGCGCATTTTTCCAATTGAGCAGATAGGTGTCGCTAATGCCACAAAATGAATGGAACTGTATAATCTAGCCTGCTTCTTTCTAATACAAGATTTTCATTTATTAGATCAGGCAGATAGGTGTCGCTTGCGCTAGAATTTGCATGCAAACTGCTGGACTGATAAGACAATGTTTGAATGTTCGTCAGCAATGTACTACGAAGGTTTTTCCTCTGAAACCTTCCTAAGTCAAACATTTCTGAGTCCTCTTGGCTACTTTGTTTCATGACATGGAGAGTGAAAAAGATTAGAAAATAAACTTATTAATGTGTTTTATTGAAGGTATAATTGGGCTGAAGAACCCCTTTGCTTCCAAGTTCAGTATCTTTTAAACTCATTTAAGCAGCAATTCAATGCCCAAAATATCACGATTTACAATTTCCTATGTTTCCACAAGAAAAATGTTTGTTTCCCAAACTCGAAACCGCCCCAAGTCTTCTTTTTTTGCGGGTTCCTTGAAATTCAACTTGGAGAGGTAGACCGTATCATTGTAATAAATTTTTCCTGACTTCTGAGCTAAAGCTTTTGACATATAAAATAATTGTGCAATTATTTACCACCCCATGATTGGGAAGAGGAGTACTACTGTATGTGAAACAAAGGAGCCGTTCGGCGTCATGAGTTGATCACTTGTCTCTGTCATCACTCCTGAATCTTTGACTAAGATGCGAGTCTAAAAAGAGAGCATCGAAGTGAAGAAGGGGGAGGCATAACGTAATTGTACTGTAGTATGACGGATATTGCGTCATGTTAATGTTCTGATGATTTGCTTTTACAGCCATCAGCTCTATAAAAAGAGGATTAGCTCTCAAGTGTTGACGACGAAAGCCGGCGAACATGGCGACTATGCTCATTACCCGCGTTGTGCGCCGCAAAACAGTCATGTACTATGCGTGGAGTTCGCAAATGTGGAAGAGTTAAATTTATCGCATCCTACGAAGACGTTAATTTCCCTCATGTAAAGAAGGAAATCGCAAGATTAAAAAAGTAACTAAAGGACTTGAACGAGTTGGAGACATCTGAACGCATCGAATTCAAGTTTTGTACAAATCACAACGCACGAATATCACGCAAAAGTTTGTACTAACTTGAATTTTAGCTATACCTATAATCGAAGTGGCGGTTCATCGCTGTTGCCGGGCCAAGCACGAGAGGCGTGGCTGCGGAATTACGCTACGAAGCGCGTGAGGATTCCATTGAAGAAAGTGTGAATTTGGAACTTCGGTGCGTCTGGCTTGGAGTCGATTTGTGAATATTGAAGCTTTTCTCTCGAGGATTACGACGCGACATCGTCGATACGCTCTTTCCTTCTCAACCGCTTGAGTTAGCTTCTGAAGTTGGGTCTTTCGGAGGGCATTTAATCGCATAGACACGCATGATCTGTGAGAAATTCGCTCAAAAATCATGAATCTTCTCTTTTCAGGTAATACAGTGCTACAGAAACGAGTTGTATTAGTACGAAGCTTGTTCCTCTGAAGCCCGTTCAGATGCTGGGGTATCAGATGAGCGACATGAAGTAAGTCTGTTCTCCTTATTTCATTTCCGGATACATTAGTCCATGATCTTTCTCTCATACAGGCATTACCAGCATGTGTCCCAACCCTTCACTGGATTCGGTCCGGTCGGAGTCCAGTCGGCTCACTTCTATTTCTCGTCTGCCATGAACGTTTTGGGAAATCCGCCGAACAGTATTTCACCTGATGTTTCGCCTTCCGAGGTCCATTTGAAGAATTTCGAGCCTTCCAAAACTTCCCATATTACGAATGCTGAGGAGGAAGAGGAACCGCCCCCACCCGGTTTGATGTAAGTGATCAAGACTTATTGGATATGATTGAATGAGGAAATATTGATTACCTGAAGTGAAGCCACTTCGATGATTAGTTGAGGCTCTAAATCGAGGAACTTTTCAGCTTCTATTTCATTTCGCTTGAGGACTTGTTGAATTGGAGTATTTGTCTTGTCTGCAGAACCCCGCCGATGTCCCCAAAGCCAGGCTCACTCAACGACGATGGTATCCCGAAGGAACTTGCTGATATGCAGATGCCTGATGCGTGCGAACTTTGTTCGGTGTTGTTATCAAGCAAAATGAAGGCCGATTTGCATTACGCGTGTAGTACGCACGAGCGACGAATGAAGCGGTTCATGATCAAGTATTGCCAAAGTCATCGTCTCTCTCTTCCTGAAAAATTCCGCACCAAAGCTTCTCACAAAAATTCACCGAACTCTCAGAAAAGATGCAAAATTTGTCAAGTCTCCTTTGAAGATGATGTGGACGCGGATAAACATTTTGCTAACATCTGTCATAATCGGCGGCTTGATGGAAAACCTTTGCTGAAGACCGGGTTTTACAACAAACTGACGGGAAAGTGGCAGAAAAAGTGAGTAATCGTGGTGTTTCACAAAGAATGTCAGAATAAGGCTGGAAAATGTCTGATCAAAAGAAACTGAAAGAATTGGCTTCATCGAAGCGATTAATGAGAATTATCTTGCCCCTTGGAAATTGTGTTGTGATGTAGCAATTCTCATCTCACCGAATGAGGATCTTGACACAATTGGAAATTGGGAATTGTTCAGATCCGCGTTTGAATGAAATAATGGCAGGCAGTGACACCTACCAACGCTGGAACTGTCAGGCTTCGCAAAGTTTAAAGCTTCATGATTAGTTTTCTTCAAGTTCTCGCTGTCCACAAAAATATGAAACATTTTCAAGAAGTGGGATTCTTGTCATTTGGAATTGAAGCATTGAAGTTACTGATTTAATGCAAGTATTTGCTCGTTTTTTTTTTTTTTTTTTTTTTTTTTTTTTTTTTTTTCTCTTCATAGGCCTCCAACTGCATACGACCTCCGAAAAAAGACATGGTGGAAGCCAGTAATTTCATTCAGGGATGAAATCGTCGAAATTGGATCTGCGGGTCTGCGAAAAATGTCCAAGTGAAAAGATGCGGCGGTTTGGCAGGTTATTCAGTAGTACTAAATTTGAGAACGCTGAATGAATAGTTGTGCTGTGGAATTGAGAAGAGAATTTTTCTCATAAAAACAAATGAACTGGAGCAACTTCGCGACAAACATATTTTCTGGGTTTGCGAACATGGTTGGTTTCTTTTTAATTTTGAATCATTGCTGTTTTTGTTCCTCGTTGCGAATTCTTTGACGAATTATGATTTTGCAAATGCTTTTTGTGTCGAAATTTTTTGAGAGGATAGGTTCCTGCGGCCTTGGCACTATGTTTTATATCTGGGCATTCCCGTGCAGTCGTTTCTCTGCTGTTTTGAAAACCTTCGGGCGAATGTTGGAGATAAAATTTTGCGAAAAAATGATTCGGTTTTGTTTTTTACGTGGGAATTCCTGGCATTCATCAGATCTTCAGAAGGAAGTCCCAGTTATATCTGCTCTGCAAATATAACTGGGATTCTTTCTTCTCAACGCTTTTCAATTGATCGAAACTTCTTCCACAAGAGAGATTCACAAGCTGCAGTCTTAGAGTATCAGTTGTGAAGTCTCTACTTGACAATTAGTTGGTAATAATTTTATTCTCGAGCACAGCATGGAAAGTAAGAAAACAATCACTGATCATCATCGAGTCAACTTGTTCACTCCTGGACCCCTAAATGTTTCGGAGCAAGTTAAAAAAGCAATGCTGGTGGATTACGGAAGTCGGGAGGACGCTTTCATTGGAATAGTTTCCACTGTTCGACGGAAGCTTCTTGAAGTTGCAGGTACATATTTACAGTGCAACATTTATTGATTTGCTAATTATTTTTGCGAGAATTTTCAGGGTTATCGGAAGGAGAATACTCGTGCATTCTTCTGCAAGGTAGTGGATCTTATGGCTTGGAGGCGGTGCTTCAGACTTTTGTTCCTGCCAATGGCCGAGTGAGTTATTTCTACACTTCTTTTTTATACCGCAGTCTTACAAACAAAATTGGGTTTGATTTTATCCTTAGGTACTAACGCTGGTAAACGGAGATTATGGACGACGAGTTGTGAAAATGTGTGAAATGATGAAGACTGATGTTGATAAAATTGTCATCCCTGACAACGAGGCATTTTCTGTGTCCATAATTGAAGAATATTTTACACCGAACTTCCAAAAACTGAAAAAGGATGATCAATTTGAAATGAAAGCCAGTTACGACCTCATTTCGGTTCAACACTGTGAAACTACTCATGGAGTCATGAACGAAATTCACGAACTAGGACCAATTTTGAAGAACAAGTTTCCAGGTTTTTATATTTTTGAATTGAAAAAAAAAAACTTTCTTAGAAGGAATAATTTTTTTATTGCGATAGGTGCTCTGATTATGATTGATGCTGCGAGTAGTTTTGGTGGTACAAAACTCAGCATGCAAGACAGCTGTGCTGATTTTGTGGTGTCGTCTTCCAACAAGTGCCTTGAAGGAGTTCCAGGACTGGCCATTATTTTTGCACGGAACAGAGCTTTGGCTAGTCACGCTGGTGAGTTGTGCAAAGTGTTTCATTGCTTAAATTTTGATCATTTGATCCAGAAACGTGTGAATAAAATTTAAAGAACAAAACAGATGAATGAGAAAGGAACAACAATTTTGTTTTCAGAACTTTAAAACAGGTCTGGCGAGTTCAATCAGCAATTGAAGAGTTCTGTTTACAGGCTTTTTATCAATTAATAATTTAGCATATGCCTCTCACTTTTTCCTTTGTTGCATGAAACCAAGAATTCTTCGGCCAAATGTCATATTCAAACTCTGCTCTGTTTGTGAACAAAGTTCTTTTTTGCTTTCCCATTGCATTAAAAACAGAAGTCTGGATCTTTTTAGTATTTTTAAAAGCTTATTGATATAATTCCGGGCTAATATATTGCAAAAAGCTGTCACAAGATATTTTTTTAAATTAAGAACAAAATGAAGATAAATATCCATCATTAGGAGATTCCTGCAAGTGAATCTCCTGATGATGAATGATTGTTTGTTGTTCACTGTCCTTCCAAGTAACCATGTCTTGACTTTTAAATCGCGCACAGGAATCAGCAGGAGCTACTCCATGGATTTGGTGGATCAACTGAATTACCTGGACAAAACTGGTCAATTTCGTTTCACACCTCCTATTCAATGTATTCTTGCAATGATGGAAGCAGTTAATCAGCTTGTCAAGGAAGGTGGTGTTTCAGGTCGTGCGAAAAGGTGAAAAAAATGTGTTTATTTACTAAATAATGATGAAGGAATTTTTGTGTGTGATTTGAACACTATGCATATGCAAATTCTGCTCTGTGTCAGTTTTGTCAGGCTTAAGTTCCCCTATTGGACCCATGGAGGTAGATGTAACTTTTACAAGGATTACCAAATTCTTTTCTGACCAATGTTGCAATTTTATCTCATCAAAGCTAAAATGGGAAAATTTGAAAATGCATCCAACATCTAGAAGAGATTGATTTAGTTCACCAGCATTTTATGAGTGTTGAATTGAAAACAAGTTAATTTGTTCCAGAAAAAAGTCACTGCTCAAAATTGCAATACTGTACAGTACTCCATTTCAAAAATTTTTATAATTAAGAATACAAATTTAAGCAAAATTGGACATGAATCAAATTACTTTCAACTTGTATTTGTTTTATTTTAATTTTTTAGTATCGCTGGTATAATGATTGATAATTATAATTTTACTGTCTTAAGGTCATACCATAAAAAACTGCCCCCATTTTTTGTCGACATTATTGAAAAGAAGGTGCTCGTCCTACTTGCAAACACTGTATTGTAATTCTGCAAAATTTATTGGCATAACATGTCAAGTTATACAAAAGCTGCATGAATTGTCATTCAACAATTTTGCTGACTAAAAGTCTCCTAGTATGATTCATCTATGTAGGTAGAGTTGACAAGTTGTACTTGCACAACTGTTGGTATTTCCCCATGTAGGTATGAAAAGTCATGCAGCTTCACCCGCAAGGAAATGCAAAACATGGGTTTCCAGCTCTTCCTTCGTCCAGAAATTCGCTGCGACTTTATTTCCTCTTTTCTCGTCCCGGAAATCGAGGGGTTCAATCTCGCAGAATTCACCCACAAATTGGCTCAACGAGGTATGAAAAAAAAGATTCTATTGATAGTGAAGCAATTGATGTTTCCTTTTCCTGATTTATGCTCAACAGGACAGATAATTTACCGGGGCACGTCGAAATCTGTGCAGACGTTCAGAATTGGGCACATCGGCGACATCTACCAAGAAAACTGCGAAGAACTCATATCCTCCATGAAAGACGTTCTCACGGAAATGAATCTGAAAATCCCAATCGTCTGAATCCTGAAAGAAAAAGCTGTAAAAATATGATTTATTGTCGCCTAGAATATTTACATGCCACCAAAATTATTTCACCTCTCAAAATGAAAACGAAAATGTCCATGACTGAATGAAAAGCATGTTCAAAATTCTCCGTGAAATTTTTTGGAATGTTTGGATTGCTCCCTTGGAAACTTTCCACCAGACCAAATGTAGGAAGAGTACAGTCGAATATTTTCCCCCAAGAAAGTGTTTCAGAGAAAATATGAACTTAGTTTTCTTCATTTGCTTAGTTTTTCAATTGTCGCATTCGTTTACGAAAAACAAAAAGTATGGATCCACGAAACGTGAGTCCAGAAGTCTTAATTTTTTTACAGTACTGTCGCAACGATCAAAGAAGGTGTGACTGCCCGTGCAAAAAAAAAAAAAAGCTAATAGCTGTTCAACTGCAAATAAAATTTTCACGAGAGTAAAATATGTTGATAGTTTGTTCAAATATACAGTATTGTCAAAGAACGAAATTTTCCATTTTGAAAAGCCTCATTCATTCTCTGGATTAGAGTATTTCACCGGTGGACAACGAAAACCAATGCAGACAATCATCTACAACGACAACTGGGCAAAACGGAACCGGGATAAATTGGCTTCAGGAATTCCAATTCGACCTGGTCCAGGAAATTGAAATTATAAAGTCAATTCATCATTGCTCACAAAACAATATTTTTGACTTATGGAAACAGGAGCTGCTCCATTTCTTGTGTCGCTGCTCCATAAAAATCTGGACATTCATTTTTGTTCTGGAGCCATCGTACTTCCAGACATAGTTCTCACTACTGCCATGTGTGCAACGAGTTTCCCTTTTGAAGACATTGTCGTGAGCAAAATTAATGATAAAATTGCTAACATGGAAGAAAGTAAAGAATTGCGAAAAATCTTAGTTCGTGGCAGGAGGTGTGATTTCCAGCTATTTCGAAGGAGTGGAACAAGTGGCTCTTCCGGAATCAGTAACAGTTCACAGAAAATTTGTACCAAGGTAAAAATGAAGAATAAACTTGCTCAAAAATAGTCCTTGTAAGTCTAAGACTTGAATGCAGCGACACGACGCCCACTGATGACATTGCGATATTTCATGTTTGGCCTTCTTTCAAGTTCAACGATTTGGTTGGTGGGATACAGCTTCCCACTTCGTCACTGAATCTGAGAGGTACGTCAAAATAGAATTACATCGCGTACAGTAAATTTCAGGCGATTTTATTCATTTTTTTGTTTTGCAGCCAATCATTTTTTTTCGCAAGTAGAGCTTTCTTTCTCAATTTATTTCAAGATGTTGACAAAATTAATTTAGCATTAATTTCATGAATATTGAACCATGAATAATTACTGAATTCTTCACTGAAACTTGTCAGATCAGACGCCATTGATGGTATTCGGAGTCGATTCATCCGGATTGGACGTCCGCAAAGAGCGCAAGAAGATAAAAGAGGCCTCAGCAACAATCGTTTTTGCCATGAGCTCAACGGACTGTCTGCAAGAGTTCCAAGACGCACAAGTACCTTTGCAGTACTTTCCGCAATTTATTTGCACATCCGGAGGCTTCCTGAGGGGACGGAGCTGTCACGTGAGCAGACGAACACTGGATTAATTCCTAACTGGTCATTGATGTAAAACAAAAAATTGCAGGGTGATAGAGGAAGTGCATTGATTACGATATCCGAAGTAACTGGTCAAGCAGGGTTGGTCGGCTTGTTGACCTGGATGGCTGCTTGCGAATCCCCGGGATTCCCTGGAGTTTTCACCAAGCTGTCTCATTACTCTGACTGGATAAATCGGCAAATTCAGGAAATCAAGAATCCTTCTACTGCGCGAACCAAAGTTAAACTTTCCAGCATGATTTAATTAAATAATACACTTGAACTACTTTGAGTTGAACTCCAATGGTTCCGCAAAAAGTAAGAAATAGAAACTTGGTGAGTTTTTGAGTTAGGGAAACTACCATCTTTGCTGAAAAAAAAAAATTGGTGATCTTTTGAGGCCTTGAATTGCTTGGTTAATGAATTGGAAGAATGCTAAATTTGGAGGCAAGGGTTAATTTATCCCATCAATTTTTCATTTCCTCTTTGAAAGCATCAATTCACATTTCCATAGCTTTTCTTTTTTCCTGGTCCCTACAATAAAGCCAAAAAATTCAAGTTATAGAGGTTCAAATGGTTGAGGCACAACTGAATCTTAAATCACAAGAAGCATCTAGAGAACAGTGGCTTCAAATATTGAGAAAGAAAAAAAAATCGACACAAAAAATTCTAATGAAGAAGAGATGTGCCAAAAGGCCAGCTTTCATATTCAAAAATGCCTCGTGAATCAAACTTCTTTCACTCTTCAAATGCATCATTTTACTCCCTATCTCTTCAAATTATCTCCCAAGAAAATACCAGTGTATCTTCCGAACGCTTTTATCAAACCCAGCTCTTATAAAAAAAACGGAAACTTCAAAATTGTGAAAAATGGCACACGCGCAAGAAATTCAGTTCAACTGGATGCCGTTTCGAGCGAGAAGATCTTTGACATACAAGTTGTCCTCCGTCAAAATGAGTCTCTTCATCTCCTGCATCTTCAAAAATGCTTCTTCAGCCGACATTCCTTCTTTCTTGTATTGCTTCATTTTACCCACGAAGTCCGCAATTAATTTCCGTCCAGCCTGGAAAAAACAACACAGTTTCAATGCAAAATTATAATCTCAATACAGTATTCCCAATATTTACTGGAAGTTGAACACATTACTGTAAACAGAGGTGTCTATTGAACAGAGGAAAAAATTTAAAAAATGCTGAAATAATTTAGTTATTCAACCAATGATGGCCGTGCCAGAACAAACTAATATGTAATAAAAGCTACATATGTATAACATTTTTGTTTCAGTTTCCTAGCTCTAAAGCATTAAATCTAACTGCTTCCTGAGGTTGAGAAGGTCAAATTTTAGTTGTAAAAAGTTTCCACCATTTTTGACTTTCTTTTGCAAGTTTGCGGTCATTTCACCCGTATACTTTAGAAAGGGTTCATGAAACATAGAAGTGTCAAGATGTATCATAATTAATGATGACGATAAAAATGCAACAAAACGATAGGCTGTCGAAATAATGCAGAGGATGTAAAAATAAGTTAGTCCACAATCAAGATTTGATTGAAAATCGGAATGATTTCATCCAAGTCAACCCCGTGATCAATTAATTCATGGATCAGGGCTCGTTAAAAGAAACCCTGACCTCTTTAGTTTCCCTCCTTCGTTTCGCTGCTTCGGCAGTTGAACCTTCCAATTCGGTTCCTTTGACAACGTCGGAAGAGAAGTCTTCAAGCAGCGCGAGTTTCCGCCGGGCATCCTGGATCACTTCCACAGGAAATTTGACCATTTCCGCAACGTGGATCCCGAAGCTTTGGTCGCAAACCCCGGGTTTGACCTCGTACAAAAGGGTCAGTTGGTCATTGGAGGTCACCGCTGATACGTGGACGTTGCCAACGCAATCTACTTCGTCATCCAGGGCAGTCAGCTCGTGGAAATGAGTCGCAAACAAGCAGAAGGACGCCAGCTTCCGGGCAATGTGCCTTTCAACAATCAAAAACAGGAAACATTTTGAAAATTATTCCAGGTTATCATTATCAAGATCTGATGCAAACAGCCAAGAACAATTCCCATCATTCATTACAGCCCTCACAAATAAAGAAAGAAGTGATTGAAAAAAAGAGATAGATATTAACAAGTATTGTACAAAACGGTTCGCATTAGAAAACTTGGTTTATGCTCAGAGAACGTATCAAAAATTCATCTACCACACATTCGATTCACAAAACCGATTGTGTTGGCAAAAGAAAAAAAGGAAGAATATGCTGTACGGAAACAAAAGCTTTTCGAACGGCATTTACGTTTTCCATATTGATGTTACCTAAAATGTCGCTCGAATAACTCGTATATCCAATAATAAAGTAGTACATACCTAAAAATGCACTGCATTGAAATAAACTAACCTGAAGACCCATTTCAAGTAAATTTGAAGTGAACTACACTTGGGTAGATTGGTGAACCCTAATTTTAACGGAGGACCTGAATGCGTCATTCAAGCGACACCTATACTACGACAAGGAATACCATGGGAAACTGATACGTCCGGCGCCGGAAAGGAGTCAGTTGATTGAACAATCAATATTTCACTCACTCTGAGATGCCCCAAGCCAGCCCGAATCCATCGTATGTCGACGTGCCACGTCCCAATTCATCAATTATGATTAGTGATTTATCAGTCGCAGACTGAAAAAACACAAAAAATATTCATCAAAGATCATACAAAGAAACAACACAAACAAAAAAATAATGATTCCCAAGAATAGCGCCAACATTGTTTGTCATTTTGACAATACGAGATACGGAATTTTTTTTGCATACATCATAAAAAAATGCAGGAAAAAATTGGATAAACTAGAGATTCAACTTGGAATGAAGCACTGTACTGCATGAAAAATCGGCCTCACCCGCAAGATGGCAGCAGCATCCAGCATTTCAGCCATAAAAGTAGACACGCCACGAGTTGCGTCGTCTCCGGCTCCAACACGTGCCAAAATTCCGTCACGCACCGAAATCACGGCTTCGTCGCACGCGACGAAGCTTCCCAGTTGTGCCATTAAAACAGCACAGCCCACCGATCGAATAAACGTGCTTTTACCTCCCATATTCGGACCCGTGATTATCCAAAATCTCTTCCCATCTGCAAATAATAAAGCCGTTAGGAAAGCAAAATATTTTTTGTCAAAAATCCACGAATATGTTTTGGTCTAGTTGCAAAGGAAAAACAGCCCAGAATAAGATGAAATTAAATTCAAAACAATCAATAATGACTCGAGGGACTTCTGGGAGCATAAAAAAGACTGAAAAATGTTTCATGCTTCCTCTTTCAGACAAAGATTATCTAATTCAGGTAGGGATTTTTCCTGAGTAAGAGCTGTCAGTTATCTAATACAATGAGCACATTTTCGGGAAATAATTGTCATTTATAAAGCAATCCCCAACAAAGATTATTGCCATCTAGTAACACCCAGAGAAAGTGAGGCTTTAAAGATGTCTAGCTTATATAGTTTTTTTGGTGTGTTCGTAACTCTTGAGAAAATATGTTTTTACGAAAAAAAAAATGTTTTCTGAGCACAGAAATTATTTTAAAAATTTAATAGCTTTCATTTTAGGATCGCGTGAAAAGCAAGAAGACAGATTATCTGTTGAATTGACGAAAATTTGCTTTAAAAAAATTAGTAATTTTCCATCCAACTACCATGACAACAGTCGATACGCAAAAGTTTTGAGAAATCATCACATCTAGATCTCTGAAACGTACCATGCCGGAATTCCGCACTGTTGGGTATAAAACTAATGCCATCTTGCAGTTCGAGACAAGGATGACGAGCATTAACCAAGGAAATCCGACCCTCGGAAGCCGGAAGTATCTTCGGCCTAACATACGGGATTGGCACTGATGTCGCAGCTGCTGCAAAAGCGCACAAAATGTCCAATTCTGCCGTGATGTCGTTAATTGCTTGCATGGTGTCGAGGTAAGTCACTGAAAATACAGAAAAAGAAAGTCCCTGTCAAAATAAACCTTTCTTCATGCAAAAAAAAAATACCCACCAGCAACTTTGCAGAGTTCTTTGACAATCGTGACTTCTTGTTCATTGTACGACTTTTTTGCAGTCATGTACTCGGCATTCAGCCTCTTCAGAGTTCCTGATGCAAACCTGAAACCCGCTTTGTTAGCATCGATCATCTTGTACTTGCTGTTGTTCCTCAACGTCTTTTCATCCTGCAAAAATTAATTCATTCAAGTCTACGTACTGTACTTCATTTTTCTGTAAATAAAAGACGAACTTTCATGGTGACTCGATAAAAGTATCCCAACTGATCAGTGCTTTCCAACTTCAACGATTTGGAGTCTAACTGAAGATCTTTCATCACAACGTCCCAATCCGCTTTCATAGCTGCTGCCAAATTTGAAAGCTCTTCCAGGAGACCTGATGCATGCCAGGAAATCCAAAATAATTTCCAACCCCTACGTACAGTAATTAAAAAAAACTTTACCATCTAGATCTTCATCAACCCCAGTTTTGATGACGAATTCCCCATTGGCAGCCTTGTCCAAATCCACAGAAAACTCGATCATCTGCAACAACTTGGACGTGCCGACAAACTGCTGTTGCAGGGGTTGCACAAACATGGCGTCGATCGTGGAAATATGCGTCCCTTGGGTGAAAATTATAAATCACAGATTAGGTAAAATTAATAAATTATGACCTCTTCAAACATTTGAAAAAAAAAACGAGGCTGACCTTCATTCGCACTCAAGGACGACAACAGACTTGGGATACCGTTGAGACTCGTGTATAGTCGGTAATAATCTTGCAAATTGGCTGAACCCGTGAGAAGACGCTTCTTTATTCTCTGGAAGTCGGGCAATTTTCGCAGCATGTCTTCTCTCAGACTCAGTTTCAAGGACGTGTCCATCACGAATGTCTCCACCACATTCAGCCTTTCTTCTGTGAACGTAATTGAGAAAATGTTCGTCAAATGTGTAATGGCTGGGAGTTGAACAAGATTAAATTCTATTAGGCTAAGTTGAGTATCCAATTAGGCAATGTTCATTAGGTGATTTTAGACTAAATGTTTGTTTCATAGAAGAGTTTGGGCTAGATGTTTTTAGGCTAAATGTATGTTAGTAGACGTTAGGACAGAAGTTCGATTCTGAGGAAAGGTTAGGCTACGTGCTAGTTTCAAAGGGAAGGTCAGGCTAGATGTCTGTTAGGTGAAATTAGGCCACAAGTTTTTTTCTTACGCAAGGTTAGACTAAATGTTTCTTAGGCAAGGTTTAGTGTTAAGTCAGCCATCAGTGCAAGGTTAGCCTCAATCAAGTTCATTATCTCTGATGTTGACAAATCTTAAAGTTCAAAAAAGGTGGAGAAAACAGCTTTTTTGGATGTCGCCAGAACAATTATCAAGTGTGGATCACTTCAGAGCAAACACATCTTTCTGAAGAAGGAAAAAACTGACCAATTTTGTTGACATCAGTCAATGGCTGCTTGATCCATTGCCTCAATCTCCTCTGGCCTTGTGCAGTTCTACACTTGCTGAGAATACCAAGCAAAGACCCAGTTTTACTTGATTCATTGGGCAAGGGCAGTACATTCAAGGCTTTCACAGCAGCAGCGTCTAATCGCATCCAAGTGGAAGAATTCAACTCCTGGATCTTGTAAGTGCTGAAGTTGCTTTCATCTGACATCAGCTTCAAGAATTTGATTATTCCGGCCAAAGCTCCCATAGCAAACAGCTTTTGAGTCTCTGGAATAACGGCTGCATCCGCCAAAGTGCCTGAATTTTCAAATTTAAAATCGATTAGCGATATACAGTAATTCCTTACTCATTTTTAAAATTCCTCCAGAATTTGCAGAAGCAACCCTACACGCAAGAGATCATGAAATTTCACCTTTCTTGAACTTTAGCAACCTTGAGAGGTCCTGAACGACGTCCTTGGAAGAAAAATCTGCTTTCGGCAGAGAGCTGACCAAAATTCCAGCTCTTTCCACGATTCCTGAAACACTTGTCCCAGGCGAAGCTTTGGACGTGGATTCAGCAGCTTTCCCTGCATTCTCCACAGGAATGAGACATTCTTTCGGGTCAATTTGAACCAGAACTGCTTCTAAAGCTGAAAAGGTTTCATTGTCCGGAAATTCCTTCACGAAAATATGCCGAGCTCCAGGATCCAATACAGCAAGTCCAACGGTCTGAAAAAGAAAACGACGTGAAAAAGCTTCATACAATGAACAATACCTACAACGAATCTTCATTTCCCAAAGATATTAAAATTCAGAAAAAACGAAACTCTGCCCTGAAGAATAAGTATTGATTTAAAAAACCGGCTGTAATCAGTTCTACAAGCGTGAATACTTGAAAACTAGTCCTTTGTAGGCTTAAAAATATTTACTTCTCCCGTTTCAGTGTTTTCCTTCAACTGCTGAATTATTGAATAGTAATTACGAGTCCTGGAGGAATGACTCACATACAGTATTCCATCTATTGAAATTATTTGAGTTCAAGCTAAACGCATTACTCTTCTCATTCATATGCTCCGAAAGAAAAAATTTTCACATAAAAAAAACGAAAACTCATTAAAAAAAAATTCCGTTGAGGAACGGAACAAAACTGAATAAAATGTGTTACCATTGTATAAGATGAAATGTCATACAAACCACAAATAAAAAGTGAATGAACAAACCTTTTGACCCTGATCCTGGCCGAATTTTATCGCAGCAAGAAGCGAAGACACCGACTGACTGCTGGAACCAAACAGGACATCCTCAAATTGGAACAAGTTCCCCGGTGACCCCTAAAGGACAATAAATAAATATACAGCCAAACCCCGTTACGGAACCCCCGATAACATAAGCAACTGCCAATTTATCTTGAAAAACAAATCTTCCCTAAATATAATAGCATTGGAAACCCCCATTAAAACGCCATCCGCCAAAGTGATTGCCAACTCAAATATGCTTCCAACAAGTATTTTCTCTTTGATAGACCGTTAAGAAGATTCAAGTTCCTGTGAATGGTCTCCAATTGGGAAAAAAATACGAATACGACATATTGAATTTTTAGGAACATTTGCTAGATATAATTTACGCTTAGGATTATTTTGATCATTTTCTAGAAGAATGATAATCTATTTCCTACTATACTTGATTTCATCATTTTCACCAACCCCCATTAAACAGCCACGAACAAATGATGGCTCCTTGTTGAGTTCTGACCACAGTAACCAACATAAAACTAAGAAGTAGTTTCAGATCGCAAATAAGCTCTCCTCAACAATGCTTGAAAATGCATTTCATTCAGCAAAGAAAAAAAACACACACACAAGAAACACAGAATTTATCAGTAAATGAACGCCCGTCGCGGCTACAGAAATATTTTTCCTGCAAGTGCCTCAAAAAAAAAAAAAATTAACGTTAAATAGAAAATTAAGGCAATTAAAAACGAATGAAAATGGACAAAAATATTCGGCTACTCACAGTATGACCAAGTTCCCAGTTTGGATTACTTTTCGTTCCATGATTGATAAACATTTCCACGCGATATTGTCGAACCAGGAGCAGGTCTCGGAGAAATGCTTCGAAGTTGGTCTTGCTCATGGTAACATACTCCACTTTCTTACCTCCTGAATGCAGAATTGAAAATACTCTCATCAAAATATCGTATTACCCGAAAATCGTATACTTCTTCACTCACCCGATCCCATAAATTTCAAAACAGCTTTCGAATGAAACAACTCATTCGCTGCAAAAACAGCATCTGCTCCATGACACGTGTAATAATCATCGTGATCGAAAATCCTGATGGTTGTGGCTGGTTTCTGCAAAATTCATACAAGCCAAAATAGGTTCAAATAATTGGTTTTGTCTTTTAGTTAAAACTAACCTCTGGCAATTTCGCAAAGAAGCTCAGAAATGGTTTCTCTTCACTGGCATCTAAAAAATAACCGTAAATTTCATTTTAAATATATTTTTCAAAAATGTAAACATGAATAAAACTGACCAATTTTGATGGCTTGATTCTCATCTCCATCTCGCTCCATGGCACGTGGATTCACCAAAACAAAACAAAACGTTCAATATAGAAATGCCTAGAAAAAAGTAAGCAGACATATGACTTTATAAAACCATCAAGCAAACATACTCGAACAAAATATCTAGTAATATTTCCAGTAAAAGGAAATCACAAACGAAACCGAAACATCACTTCAGATGGATGATGGAGCACGAAAATATCATCAGGTATTCACATCACAAAGGCACCCCGTTGCAACATCATCTCTGAACTGATCCCGTTTCGTTATTTGGTCTACCACTCCGAAAAAAATTCAGGCGTTCTGTGACTGTGGTAGAATTTGATAATTTGGGCATCGGTCAGCTTTACCCAACTTTGATTAATTGAAAAAGAACAGGGAAAAATTATAATTTGCATGTCGACCGCTCCTTTGCCTTTGATGAGAATATAATTGAAACTAATTCTCAGAGATTTGCAAGAAAAAAAATGATGCAGGAATTTGTCGAAACATTATTGTTCTTCTGTTGAGTGGAACTTCGATTTAAAAAAATTCATTTTAGAATTTTTTTTTTCACGAGAACAGGATTTCACATCGAATAGATTCGGACTAAAACAAACCTTATTTAAACTACATCACGTGAAGGAACTTCAATAGAATTCAAAAAAACTTGAGTGAAATGAAGCTAACAAGAATACACTTTTTAATTTCCGGTTTATCTCCCTTTCAACCTCGAAAAGCATAAATAGTAGGAGTGACCAACAGAAGACTGACTATTACTGTGAAAAATTAATTCAATCACAATTCATTAAAAAATAACTCAACCATGGAAGCACAACACGAACACGAACCAAGTCACATACATATAAATAACCCAAATTTTAGACAGTATTTAACCAATCTTCAATACGTCACTGCAAAAATAATCGATTAAAATTTTTATACCGAGCAACCGAATCGTGTAAATTTTCAAAATTCATGGTCCAATATGTTGCAGCAATTCTTGAATTAATCAGAACAGAAACCAAGAATACAATATCAGGTCATGCAATAAATAAAAATCAATTAAAGCAAAAAATCAATGCGGAATTCACTTCACCATCAATCGGATCGGGCCCAAGAATAATTTCCTACCTTCCAGAATCTCATAACAAAGCATTCCCAGGGAAGACTACTTCTGACAGCCCGGAATGCGCAGCACAAGCAATAACAGAAGCAACAGCCCTGAGGCAAGGGTGTCTTCCCAAAGGCATCTCGCATTCATTAATCGACCCATTCCTCAACCAGACAACCTCTTTTCTCTATGAGTGAGTAGGCCGAACTCAAATGTCTCTGAAACCTTATTGTCTCGACCACGCCCAAGTGCAACATCCCGATAAATCTCCATAGATAAAGAAGATCAACAACCGAAACGTTTAAGGTATACTAATTTCTTCAAGGCACATAATTAGCTTGAAACAATTTCTGTTCAACAAAATTACACACACACAGCAGAAGAATCTCCAAATCTCCTGAAAACATAAAGATTATCCTAAAATAGCGAAGGGAATTTTTTTTTAAATACTTCATGCAAAGAACATTACTATTTGAAATCACGACTCATTATTTGTAAAAATTCTACTTTGATCCCATGTAACCCTTTTAAGCAAATAAAGCAAATATTTTGTCACCCAAAAACAGTTGGAATTTTAGATCTCCCAAAGTGATACAAGTTTAGAAATGCATCTGTGACTACCAGTGACATCTACCCAAATGAAATCTGTTCCTAGTTGGCAATGGACAACGCAGGAAAAATTTCCGCAACGCACAGGAAATTTTCAATTCCAGTGACTTTTGGAAAATACGCAGTACGGCTTTTATATACAGTACTGTCAAATTTTGGAAAATCGTAGAAATTGTAGAAATGAAATTGATTTTTAAAAATGAGCAAATATCATTATTGGTTGAGAAAATTTCAGATCAACTTCAATGAAGTTACAATATGTTTAGACACACAATGAACTAAGATAATCTTATTTTGCAAAGAACATAACTACAGTATTTGAAATCAAAACTCATAATTTGTAAAAATTCAACTTTGAGCCTATGAAACCCTTTTGAGCAAATATTTTATAACCAAAAAACAGTGGGAAGTTCAGATCTCCCGAAGTACTGTAACAGAATTTTAGAAATGCATCTGTGACTGCCAGTGACATCTACCCAAACGAAATCTGTTTCTAGTTGGCAATGGACAACGCAGGAAAAATTTCCGAGACGCACAGGATATTTTCCATTACACAATGTAATTTTTTCAACACACCGTACGGCCTGTAAAATAAAAGCAATGCCAAATTTCAGAAAATCGTAGAAATTCTAAAAATGAAATTGATTTTTTAGAAATGAACAATATGATTAATGGTCGATAAAATATCAGATCAACCTCAATGAAAATATGTTCAGACACAAAATGAAATCAGATTATCTAACTCGAGCAGAAAGAGTATCAGCGACTTCAACTTCTTGCACTCGGTCCAAATTCGCTGTCCCAAAACATACAGAATAACCAGGCTTGTAAAGGCCTACATAAAGTTTCAGGGAGTGGCACGGTGTATATAAGAACTCCGAACCACAACAAGTCACTCTGATCAAAAGCGGATCATCGTTCGGTTCAAATTCTTAATACTGTTTCTTCATCAGTGTTTGCTGACGAGAGAAAAAAAAAAATCATGATCCTCGCGTTCATGGTAGGTTTTCATTTCTCGAGAAATATACTTGACAATTATTGATCAAGTATGCTTTTTACGCAAAATTTCCCAGATGTGCGCCACTTTGGCGATCGCCGCTGGATTTCCTCAAGCTCCGCAAAAACCACAGCTGCCACAGTGAGAGAAACATTTCCAATAGGAAATAATTTACAATTAATTTACCATGTTCCCACATCCAAACCCTCTCTCCTCCCATTCTCAGAAAAAATATCATTAATGGTCGAGAAAATGTCAGATCAATCTAAATGAAAATATATTGTACGACGAAATTAATACGAAACTTCTCATCATCTGTCCTGATTTTTGGTTGAAAATAGAAATTTTCTAAGATTGATCAGTTGAATCAAATTGGGATCTTGAAAGTTTCCTCAATTCTGTTACTAGGAACGCTAACGAAACATTTGAAGATAAATTGAAATTTTGATACTAATTGTCCGTTCTTTTTTTTTTCTTCCAGGCCTCCTCCTGCACTGAGAGACAGCAAATCTTACCTGAACCCCTTCGTACCCACTCTGACCTACTCTTTGCCATACAACTTCCAATACTCGGCTCCTCACTACGTCTTCCCACTTCCGGATTCCATCAAATCATCCGAGGTCAAGAAACCTGGCCCAGAAAAAGTGGAAAACCCAGTTGAATATACCGAAAAGCCCAAAGAAGAGAAGAAGGAAGAATTCGTGAATTTCGTCAAATACGCTCATCCAGTGTATCCCCAGTTTTACCGCTTTCCAAATTCTCCGGTTTACAGCCCTGTCTTTCCTTTCCCAGCAGCCCCATACCGTTTTTTCGATTTTTGAATTGAAACAATAACAAAAAAGACATGGTGTCACAGCTCAAAATCCTCAAAACCCGATGATCAATAAAACAATCCCATTCTCTACAACAAACAGCCTGGCTCTACATTATTCCACATTATTGTAACCCTTGAAGGGTTACAATGACTGCAACACAGACGACGTCGTCAATTCCATTTTTTGAATCAGAAGAAAATCATCCACTTGATAAGACGTAGACGGTTCAAAGCAGTGCAATAAAAAAAAAAGAAATCAAAATGGGCCCGAACAACAAATAACAAGGATTTCTAAACAGGACAATATATACTTATTTTAATAAAAAGAAAAAAAAAATTCAAGACTAGGATTCGCCAACAGTTTTATTGGGGCTTCCCTGTAGTGAACCAACCACGCATGACAGTAAAATTAGATCGTTTATAAATAACGTTGAATATAATGACATGTACGCCAAAAAGAGGAAAAAATAAAAATTCCCAAGATTGGTTGAATCAAAGAGTGGCAAGATTTTTAACGATTCGCTGAGAAAATGGGGAAATAAGCCTGAAACACGACGAAAAATTCACGTTCTGTATTCGGTTTTTTTCGTTTTACATTAAATCTTATTGAAAATTGGCAAAAAAAATTCAACACAAGCGAATATTTTTATTTAAAATGCAAAAATGTAGAAAAATTTCACCCAAACAAGACAATCGGAAGAAAGAGTTTCAACTGTTTCAAGATTAACATTTTCAACATATAAATTGGGCCCTTGCTGGCATATCGCAAGTAAATTATTCATAAGCTCCACAAAATAACTAAATTGCATGAAGAAATTATTTAAAGGGGCCAAAGCATTGTACATTTAATTATAATTTGGAATTTCCTCCTGAATCTTGAACGATGAAACATTTACTCGTCGTCATCAACTCAACGACTGGCCAGGGCCGAGAGGAACGTGTCGAAACAACCTTGCCGTCGACAGTCGACGCATGCGTTCCCCCGTCGACACTCACTCCCATCGACACTCGACAGGGGGGAAAAAAAGAAAGAGGGAAAAACGGCCTTCAGTCGACCTGCCCGCGACCTCGTTCGACCTCGCGAGTACGGCTTCAGCCTTGGATCCCAGGCCCGGCACGTGCAACCCTTCCGTCCAGTACGGCCTCACCCCCTTCTTCGCTCGGGTCAAGGATCCGGTACGTCAGGTCAAGGACCTTCTCTTCCAGCCGGGTTTCGCGCTCTTTTCCTTCAAGGTGATTCCCACTACTACAAATACTACTACTACTACTGCTGCCGCTGCGCCCCTTTCTTCGACTCTCGCGGAAATCTCGGGTTTCTTTTTTTCCTTCCTGATGCCGGAAATATTCCTCCGCATTTTCCCAATCAAATTTTATAAATATAATTTGCACAGTTGGAAATGCAAATAAAACGGGAGATAATTAAACACGAATTTGAAAAAATAGTCAATTAAAGTCGACGAGCGAATTACCATATTCACTACTCAAGTAAATACATTAATGAATGTATTCTTCACAATTTTACACTTTCACTTGTTTCAAACGACTACGAATTCAACTTGGAATAAATTAATCTTCGATAGCTTTGCTTTTTGAACATTTTATTCAAGTATAAAGCACAGCGAAACACAAAAAACGGTATTTTACGAATTGTATCTCTGCCTCTGACGCGCATCTAATTTTTCCTCTCAATTTTGAAAAAAAAAGGTCCGCATGATACTCAAGTAAATAAGCAATGACTTTATTCTGCAGCATTTTAAACTTTAATATATTTCAAAAGTCTAGCAGTCCATGCTTTGCCTTCTCGAAAATTCATTCCAATTCTGTAAATAATTATCATAACATCGTTACGGACAATCGGAAATGTATGCGAATAGATGAATGAATACGTGAAAAGTGAAAAACAAAGATTCACACGGGGTTCAAGGATAAGCTCATGACATTGAGGCGACCTCGCGTGGAACCCGTACAAGGTCAGGGAAATCCTTGACATGCGCGAGTCCAAGGACTTTCCCACGATCAAGGTGACTTTTACTACGAAGGGGAAAAATCAGGAATCGGAACCATTCATTGTACGGAATTAATTCATAATATTTTCAATTTCAAGAATGTCAGCCGTAAAAACAGTAAGGTATCTTTCAACGGCATCTAAAAATTCTCCAGCAAATAAATAAATAAATAAAAGTAAAATTCAAGAGCACATTTTTGCAGTGATATCATTACAAGAAACATTGTCATCCCAGAAAAAAAATCTTGGTTGAATTTCCTGAAAAACTTCATTTTGTAATTTCAATTGTTTACGAGTAGGCGATTTACAAAAGAATTTTGTAAAATTTCTTCAAATGTACTGTATCCGTCCAACTCTCTTCCGCCGACTCGGAACGCCTCATACAACAAGGAAGAAAAGTAGTCGTGGGAGAAGATCAAATTCAAGCAGGGTCAGGTCGGGTCAAGTCAGGTCACAACCCGTTCACCTTTCACTCGCGGAAGCTATAAATAGGCCATCCAATGTCACGACCCCGAAGTTTCCTTTTTGCCGAATCGATTAATCTTCGCGCAGAGCTGTAAAAAAAAAGGCGAGGACAATTTTTCTCCAACTCGCTCTTAAAAAAAAAACCAATTCAGATTAAATTTTGCAATCAATTGCATAAATATTGAATCCATTTTTTTCATGTTCACAGCTTGAATCAGATCTTGCTATTCAATAATAGGCAAATATTTTTCCTGATACAACTTCAACGGGAGAAGTTTACGTTAAAATGTAGGTGATTGTAAGTCTAATTTGCACATGAAAAGATAGAATACTGATGGAATCTCTCTACAATTTTTTTTTTTTTTTGCATTAAGAATGTTTGGGTTCCTTAGGGCTCTCTACAACGAATTTCCTTGTGGTCATTTAAAATTCTTCGTAGAGAGTACATTGGTATTTCGAAAAATTTTCAGTAATGAGCTTTTTTAATTGTAAATATTTTTTCGGTAACGAAGTGGGTGAAAAATAAACTGCATTCATAAAGTCCTGACATCGAAATTTCAAAAGAGAGAGAGAGAGAGAGAGAGAAAATACGCAGTACCTCGAGAAGTAGAGAGAGATAGGGGGGAAATACTCGACACATTCTCGAGTCAGGAGAAAGGAAGAGAGCGCAACAGAAAAAAAAATAAAAATAAAGAAAAGCGGCAAAACCTGGCCTCGAAGAACTTCAACGAGCGACGCCCAGACTCGGTCCCGTTCGTTTCCCTCCTCGAGGTGGCTGGAAATGGGTCAAACAAGGTCAGGTTCTGGGCTATCTGGATCACTCAGAGGACTCAGAGGCCACGAGGCGGGATGTGCAACGGGGGAAAGGAGCCCGGGCCAGGCAAGGGGTTGCTGCTGCTGCAAGGGTGGCGGTGGGGCGATGCGTGGTAGCTGCTGGTGGCGGCAAGGAAGGCACCCGCCCACGGAGTCTGCACCCTCCGGGCATGCGTCAACCCTAACCCCGCTCACCCCGCGGGTTCCTGTCGAATCTGGGTGGAGGTCACCAGCGGCCACCACGCAGGATCAAAGGCCTCGAGAATTTCTCGTGTCAGGACACGACTGTGTGCGAAGGCGAAGCAAGTTTCTGCGCAGAATCCACCCACTTTCGAAATTAGCGACCTCAATTTCATTTTATTTTTTTCGGGGGTGGGGGAAGGAAGGTTGGAATTATTGTTTTCTGACGAGGAAACATTAAATTCCTACCTTTAATGTTCATTGAAGTGGGAAGAACCGTTATTTTTTGCAAGAATGAAAATTAAGAAAAATAGTTTGACTCATTATTGTGCTCATTCCTGGCAGAAGAAGTGAGCTTCAACACAAAGTTACCCTGCATAGAGTATCTAGACAATGTATTTTTTAAATTGATTAATTACAGCATAAGTATTAAACTTGAGATGAAAGACATAATTGTTCCTGGAAAAATGTCATCTAATTTATTCTTATTCATGAACGAATTATAGCACAAATCGTAGAAACTTCAGTCATGTACAGTGCTTCCAAAAAATCATCTTTTGAAAATATTTTTTCCTCTCGAACGCACATTTATTTGAACAAAATCAAACTTAAGCATAGCAAATAATGCCATCGAATATTCCGGAATACATTTTACAGACATTCAAGAATAAACTGCATACTTTACCCTGCGGAGAAAGTCAGATACCTGTACAGTATTGTGCACCCCTCCTCCGTTATGAGTGTCCAGTGCGATTCCTACGACACCTGTCGGCCAGAAACCCGAACAAAAAACGCTGAGCTTCCGACCAACGAAGAAGAGGCGACGGGAATACATCATGGACAGTTAAACCATACTTCAATTGTTAATAATTTTGGTCTTCCCTGAATATTTCGAACATTCCTTTGTTCCGGATTAAGTAAAATCTTAATATATTATAGTATATGGGCGTAAGATAGGAAGTCGACACATCCATTCGACGAGAAAAGTTTCATTAGACGATTCATCAATCGAAGTTAACTCATAATCTGAACCATAACGAAGTAACTATTTGTTAGACATTTCTTACATCAGCCGGTACAGCATTTTTCTAAGCTACTCATAGAAAATTTTCCAGAAGGATACTATCTCGGAAAAAATTGCTTAATTGAAATACGACAGCAATTGGTGTTTCTGAAAAACAAACGCTGATGAAAATCATATTGCACCGGCAAGAAGAAGAAGCTTATGTCATCTATACAACAACTTCACCCGCGAAGTAACGACGAATGGCTTTATTATGGGTAGATGTCACCAGCAGTTACACACAACATGCGCCATTCTTCAGAATTTCTCGCTCACCACGTTTTCCGCGTCCCACGGGAAATTTTTACAATTGCTTCAGAATAAGTGACACATTGGAGGCCATAAAAATAAAGAACGAAACATTTTACGCTTAACACAAGTAAAGGGACAGGATAATTTCGACAGGAGATATCCAGCGTAGAACACGAATTCAACAATTTCAGTGCACGTGTTCCATTGCTTCCACGCACCATATGCCAATACAGTACAGTACTAACTTTTCGTAGAAGGCTCGACTCCAAGACGACAGTTCCACAGATTCTTTCTACGCAAACTGATGCGAAGAAGAAAGTACTGCGGAAAAACAATGGACGAAAATAATGCACATAACACTAACTCAGAATTCAGGCGATCACTTAGACACCAACGATTCAGCAATTCAATACCTGTGAGGGAGAAAAAAAAGCGAACAAAATAAGCAAAATTTTGTCATGAACCACTTCAAGAAAACTAGACCTGAAATTGATTATATATATTTGGCAACACACATTCTATCAAAGCAACGAACAAAATCCGACATGAAACGTCAAAAACCAATCCAACAATCGCAGCATCTCTTCTGGATTACAGTTTCTTGTGATTCCAAATTGATGACGGAGCGTTACCAATCATGCACAATGCATTTTGACAGGAAGAATTTTTCTGAATCAGTATTTTGCGCGAACACTACAAACGTCGCCATTCCATCCTTGATCTTGTACCTTTAAAATAACGAAACAAAAACCGTAACCTCTGCAACACAAAATCGATTTTAACAAAACTTACTTCGGATGAGCCAGAATTTCATGCAAATGCTTCCGTTTCGGCACCCGCACAAGCTCATCTTTACCGGTGTCAAAAACTTCGAAGTAAACGTTCACGGTCTCCCAGGAATACTTATTGTCAACGTCCCAATCCGGCTTTTCAAGAAACATTTCCATCAAATGTTCTTTCAGCCTGTGAACAAATGACATTTTTGTTAAGGGCCAGTAAAATTGAATAGGACAGGACTTGAAGACATGATTTACAACTGTTACTTCGATTTTATTGTACTGAGTTGCAAAATCTTCGGCAAGATTGAAAAATCATCGCGATGAAAATATAACGTATCTACTGTACTACGCATGTTCCGAAGTAAAATCTTTCGGATTTATGCAAGTTTAGTGAAGGTGAAAAATAAATATTGAGGTAATTATGAAGAGTTTGTCATGAAAGCTGCAAATGTGAGTTGGACGCGCTTTCAAAATTAATCGAAGTATTGTACAGAACTTCGATAACTCGAACCTCCGTAATTCAAATACTACTGTATTTCAAACTTTTGAAAGTCCCCGTATGATTCCCTCAGAAATAATTAATTGAATATCTCCTCAACTCGAAAGCTTTCCCCTTAGAACCTTCATAACTCGAAGCTTCTCATGGCCTTCTGGCTATTATTTTATTCACACAAGGAAGAGGAAAACAATAGAAATGTAAATTGATGAATTTTGTAAGGAATTAAAGAACTAATTGGGCAATTCAACCCTTGCCTCCAAGTTCAGCACTCTTTCAACTCGTTCATGAAGCAATTCAACACCTAGAATAACAAAAATTGCGATTTCCAGAAAAATTCATTTCTTTCTTCTAGCAATAATGCTTGTCTCCCTAACTCGCATTGTTTCTGGTCCCTTCGAATTCGACAGCATAACTACTGTACATGCTCACATGGAATCTTCGTGAAACGCTTCCACAAGTTCCGTCACACTCGGTTCCGGGTAAATGAACAAAGCCGGCCAGGATAAAGAATTGTCCGGATTCAAAATCACTGATCTCATCGGCCCAGCATCTTTCCGACCCGTTGAAAATTTAATATCACGTTTGGCAATCTCATTTTGCAATCTTTGAGCATCTGCGTCGATTTTTTGATTCGAGAGCGCCGCTTTGCGTTCGTCTCTCGCTTTCGTTTTCTGGAATGCGAACAAGGACACGAGGCATTGAATAATTTCAGTCAACTTCAGTCTTTACACTACTGTATAGGAAAAGCTTACTTTCGCGACAGTGATTTGCCGTTCAATTTTCTGGAATTCCTCCTCATTTTCTGGTTGTAGTGTGCGAATTCGATGAAGCCAACCCAACGCTTCGTCCCATTTTTGCAGTTTCAAACAGGCATCCAACCCACGTTTGGTTGCCTTTGCATGTCCAGGTGACAATTTCACAGCTCTGCCGCAGTCCACAATTGCAGAGCGGTAATTTCCAAGTCTGAATTGAGCAGCGGCTCGATTTGCCAGAAGAACAGCGTTTATTTCGTCGTCTTCACACTTTTGCTTCAAACCCTCGGTATAGCTAGACACGGCGAATCTGTATTTCTGCAATTTGAAGTGTCTGTTGCCTTCTTCCTTGTAATTTTCAGCCAATTCTGTGGGGTTCCGAAAAAAAACAGTAGAGAAAAATATCGACATTTTCCATAAAATCTTTGCATGGAAGCTCAAAGAAAAATATTCAAGCAAATTTTCTTCATGACGAGAATTGGTTCTAAAAACTTGTAAGAGTTTCAACGAATATTCTACTATTGCTAATTCTCTGACTAAACCGAATACGAATCCACAACTCAAATGCAAAGGGAGTCGAGAAGAAATGATCAGCCTCCCGTGAAATCTTCGCGATAAACTGCCTCACGAGAATGGGATCCACTCGTATAATTCAGGCTTACCAAGACTTGAAATTTACCTCACAATTTTTAAATGATTGGGAATTAACTGACAGTCAAAACAACACTCTCCGAAATTTAAAAAATTGCGGATTTTCCCAGATTCGAGGCTCATACTTGAAATTTTCAAGTGAAGTCTTCAGTTTGCAGAATGTGAGTTCAATACTAGAATGAAGTCCTATCGAAACAATAGTTGTTGAAAGAAATCTGACCTAAGTTCAATTCTGAGGTCATTAGAACCTTTCCTGATAAAATAAGAAGCAATCTTAAAAATTGAGATTCAATCGACAATAACACAATTAGAACGATTCGTACAATACAAGAAAACACAAAATTGCAGGAAGCAATTCCTCAAATACCTTTAGGAGTATTGTCTTCGGCGCCAAATTTCAACTGCTGAAACGCTTCTATCAAAGGCGGGACTTCACCATTTTCGAAATTCATATTCGTCACAAACGCTGGATGTTGCTCCATTTCCTAAAAAATGCAAATATATACCTCAAGAAAACAATAAACCTTTTGATGCACGAACTTTTTCCCAGTTATCTTCAGACCAGCCATCCTTGTATTCCTTTCCGCCCAAGGTGTTCAAGTACGCGTCGAACTCCTCATCCATTTTCTTCGCCAAATCTTCCGGCGACATTTTCGGCGATTCCGCCATTATTGAAATGACTTCCTAGTAAGAAAACGAAGTTTTAAAATGCCGCACATAAATCCAACACTCGACAATGAAAACCTCTGGAGTCAGCGAACAAGTCATATAATTCACCCGTGATCGAGAAAAAGGGTTACAAAGGTATATAAAAAAGGGACTCCGTTCAACTTATATCCATCACAGCATTAAACATTAAAAATGCATCCTTGATGGATCACCCAACAACCAACAAATCACCCTTAATTTCCTGAGAAGGTACTTCGAGATTGAGAGGAGCGGGTCCTTTTCGAATTCGCCCCGAATGATCATAATGGGAACCATGGCATGGACAATAATAAGCACCGAAATCCCCAGCATTCGCGATTGGTACACAGCCTAAATGAGTGCAAATCCCGATCACAACAAGAAACCTAGGATCAATAACTCGGTCTTCGTCCTTCTCTGGATCTCGCAGCTTCGAAACGTCAGTATTCCTTGCGCTTTCGATTTCCTTTTCGGTTCGATGCTTGACGAACAACGGCTTGCCTCTCCACGTGAAAGTCACGTTTTTTCCCTGAAAAAAAAAATATATATATATACACATACATTGTACTGTATTTGATTTCAATTTAGTGTACTATGTAGCAGGCCAAAACTTGACTTGGGCAAAATTTAAAGATTTTCTCACGCTCACATGTACAGGATATTCATCAAATTTGTAGTTTAATCTACTGATCTACGTTGAAAAACGAAAATTTGCGCAGAATACAGTACTAGTTCAATGCAAGTGCAACCAAACATTTGCTTCTCGGTCTAAATTTCACATTCAACGTGTTGAACCCGACAACAAAAATTCCTGATCATTCGAGGCAAATTCATTTCTGACGTTTAATAAGAACACGTATCTTGCATCACATGAGCAATGATGCTTTCGCGAATAAAACACATTACTGCAATCAGAAATTGTACGAAAAAATATGGATGATCACCTCAGGAATGGAATCCAAATTGACTTCGATTTTGGCCAAGGCCACGACATCAGCCGAAGCACTCATGGACTTCACGAACATGTCAACAGATGCTCTTCCTCCAATGGCACCAAATGCACCAAGCTGAGCCATCATGAAATAGTGGAAGCCACTTCGTTCAGTTTGATCTTTCCTCTTGCTCGGATCTTTACCGTCATCCCGCCGATATGCGTCGAAATTCGGAATCTTAACGTCGGAGTGAGCCTTACGAACCAAGCATCTGACTAAGAAGTAGATCGTCAACACCGCACATGGTTTTCGTTAATCAAGCAAACCTTTTTCAGGAGGGCCATTGTGCAGGTAACGAAACGTCGTCGACCGACACAAGCCAGATATAACCGATGGTCTTCCTAGGCGCATGAATGCGCTGGGACGCAAAGATTCACTAAGACGCTTCGAATAATGCTTCATGATTTCTTTAGGAATCTTCACAGGTCGTTTCGAAGGTACCGCGGGTTTCAGGCGCAAATTAGATCCACAAAGCGCAGTAGAAGATGCGCGGAGTAACCGAGCCACTTTGCCCACGTTGAAGTGCGGGCTCACAGCCATCTTGTAGACCCTTAGTAAATTTCGGACTAAGTTACACTGCCACATAAGTGGTCTCTCGTAAGATCCAGCCACATCCACGAAAATTTCATTCCGGGAAACTCGACGAGACACAGTGAAAGTTTCATCCGTAATACTGAGGATTGAAGTGAAAGAAAGTTGTCACCTTGTTCTATCGTTTACTCAAGCGCCACTGATCAGAAACAAGGAGGTCACGAAGTTCATGCGTCAATCGATAAACGTCTCCTTTCCAATTGAAGCCACTGGGCAATGATTCCGCAGTTTCACTAGACTCGTAGGAAAATAGCGAGGAAAATTCGATAGCGAGAGAGGATTTTATCAGCCCGGAACCACCAACACTTTCTGGTGCAGGATGGTATAAGCGACCAGTTTCCAGAACACATATCTTCTCCGGTCGGAAATCCACACACATATCATCAATGCCATGATTGTAACAAAGCTTGAATTTCCCTGCTTCCGGTTCAATCAGCCGCGTAAATACGATTGGAGTATCATCACATCGAACATAATTACGTTCACGGCCACATGGTGATAGCCAAGGAAACTCCTCGGAGTAAGAACCAGTTTCATTGCGACGCAATTGCTTAAAAAAGAAGCTCAAAAACTTCGGAGCTATCCTAGTTGGGGGGACCCAAGCTCAAAACTACGTCCATGTAGATGTCACTAAGAACTGCGGACGGAACGTCCTTGGCGGCATCCATTTGTGTTTCTTGAATAATTCTCCAACTATTCAAATCTGGTTTTATGAACATGTTTCACGACTACCTCGAGTTTCTGTTGATGCATCGATTCGGTACTACAGTAATTGTAAAGACACGAAAAGCGTAAATAGCTACCGATTCTTCCCTGCAAAAGGGATTACGGAGCTATCCTAGTTGGGGGGACCCAAGCTCAAAACTACGTCCATGTAGATGTCACTAAGAACTGCGGACGGAACGTCCTTGGCGGCATCCATTTGTGTTTCTTGAATAATTCTCCAACTATTCAACATCACTGTTCTACCGTACCGTATGGTTAGCCTCAACAACAACAATCACGAGTCGTTCTTCGTGATTTTAAAGACGAATTCCCTCGACTCAGGTGAGCGAAAGATTATCCCTGTGTGTTTCACTCACAAAATGCCGCGTTTCCGCGAAAATTAGAGCAGTTTTCAAGTGTATTCCAGCTTAAATGAATTCAAGCAAAACAACCTTACGCCAA